TTTTTATTGGTTACTTGGATTTTTTATCTTCTCATTTTGCATATATCGACGATTGCTCGAACGAGAAGAACGATTTTTCGACCGAATCCTCGAGTCACGTGTCTAGATCGCGGTAGATCGAGGATAATTCGCTTCGATCTTCGTGCTAATTTGCCATTTATTAGCCGATCGTATAAGAGAAATTATATATAGATTTTTATGTGTGTGAGTTAAACGCTTTCTTAGATACTTAGATATCGATTGTCGTTAGAGCGGGGAGGGGGTAATTATACGATTTGAGGGATTTACGGTGATTTCGATCTTGATTATAGATTGCACAGGTTGTTCTTGGCTGATCGATCTTTGAAAGGTTTCGATCGTTAGAAAGAAGAATTATCGAATTCTATTGGAATAATTGAAACAAAAATATTAATATTGTAATAGTTTTTTGACATTTAGATGTAGATTAAAATTAGGGTGACTAATTTAATAACTTTCTTTTCTGATTGTTATAATTTTATTTAAAATATTCATCATAAATTCGTAGTAATGAGAATGCATTTCATTTCATTATTTTATATCTCAATATCTCTAATGTCTATAATAATAATAACAACAACAAATTAACAAATAAGAAATTCAAAATGATATCCAGATAAAAATCGGATGAAATGAATTAAATCTTACGAAGATTAAATTAGAATGATGACTTTCACTTGATATTCCATCAAGATTGTCAATCCTGATTTCCTCAAAATTGTTATAATTACATTGGGCGAGATTTGCTATCATCTGTCGCGGAATTAGTTTTCGGCAATGAACACGATATCTCTCTCTCTCTCTCATATTACATATTAGATAAAGAAGCAACAGCACCTTTAGCTTTTAGCTCGACAAGACAAGATAAAAATCCTTGTAAACGGAGTCGAGAAAACACATTTTTAGATCGGGATAGATGTTAGTGAATTAGAACGTAGATAGATCTCGCGAGCTTAGATTAAGAAAACGCTATTTTTGATTCGCGTTGTTACACGGTTGTACGGGGTTGTACACACATACGTACGAATTATTGGGTTTCGTGGCGTGCAAATCAAGCAAAGATCAAGATCGATTTACGATCAACAATCCACTGTGTCCATATATATATATATATATATATNTATCTGAAAAGCACTCGATATACCCGTGTTAAAATTCTTTTATTTATTTATTTTTTTTATTATTCAATGTGAAACAAAATATCCGAATATTTAAATTACATTTGCAAAATGCGATTCTCTTGCTATCACGACGATTGTTTTTTTTTGGATATAAAAGGGAGAATGTACGATTTATTCTTATTTGCAATGAGACTAATATATTTATAATATCGACGTGTTTAAATATTCGATTGATATTACTTCATCGCGATATATTTAAGAAAAAAAACACGGATGTATCGATATATACGTGTGTGTGTCCTCGATATACACGCGTTCGAAACCACCCCAACCACTCCTTACGATCTTGAAATAGAGAATCGTAATAGAATCGATCTTGAACGCCGTTAACCTTAGCACACAATGTAAATACGAATGAGAACGAGGAGCGTGAATTATTATTAGCTGAAGAAAAGAAAAGAAAAGAAAAAAAAAAAGAAAATAATAATAATTATAACGTGAACGTTTTTTTAGAGAAACCCCACCCTTGTCCCTAGCTGCTTTCAGCCTTTGAGATTATTATATACACTCGAGAGTAACGAAGCACTCGTGAGTGAGTCCGATATCATCATCGATTGCCTCGTTCTCCCATGCGTCTCGTTCTTTTGTATTATTAATTCCATGTATGACCCGTGTCCCGGTAAGTAAGAAACACACCTCTTGAAACGAGTCCACGAAACTCGTCGACGAAAACAAGTAGTTAGTTACACGTATATATATATACACACATACACACACGTTTCTCTCTTCTTCTCTCACCTGTATACCGCTCCAAAAAAAAAAAATGAGAAAAAAGAAAAAAAGAACTCACACTCAGGCAAGCATGTGCATGCTCGAAAAAAAAAAAGAAAAAAAGAAAAATCCTTACTTGAACTCTTGCATGCTTCTTACACGCGCGTACTATACTATATATGTGCCTGTATATCGACTTCTCTGCTCCTACTCACCGACTGTTCTTCTTCTCATCTTCGAGAGAATTGTTTTTATTATATCTTGTTTCTATCTTGATTGAAAAATTAAGAGAAAAAAAAAAAAAAAGAAAAGAAAAAGAATTGAGAGGAATTTCCGCGCGAATTTTACGCGATGACGATTCCTTTTCGCGCGGAAATTCCTCGGAGGCAAAAGGCGTTCTCGAGTCGAGAAAGTTGTTTGTTCGAGGCGCGGACAATTTGTATAATTTTTATGACGATAAACGAAGGCAAAGAGAACCGGCGACACCCCCAATTCTCCTTAAAAAAAAAAAGAAAAATCCCTCGACAAAGCGCAATCCCGGGACGAAACCCCTAATCGGCGAGTATGTTCGTTTAGATGGAGCTTCAGGACGTCGTGGTTAGCGACTCGCGTGCCGGTAGCCTCGAGAGTCTCACGCATCCCGGCAAAAGACTTCATCCACCTGTGCAGCCAGTTAGACACCCATCGCGTTCACCGAGTCTAAGGTACGTGACATTATTAATCATATACTTATCAAGGCTTAACAAGACTTCAAAACGCGATTCTTCTTTATTTTCTGTATATCTGCGGTGGGGAAATTTTTCTTCCCCTCGCGTTGCCTGTGAACGAAGAGGGGAAGTAATGAAATAATTAGTATGTGAAATCATCGAACGATAGAAAAAGAAGAAGAAAAGAAATGGTGAAAATTGGAGTTGAAAAACGAATTTGATCGATGGATTTTTCAGGAGGCACTCGCCAGGGCGACCTGGATACGATCATCACGGTCATTATTACCACGAAGGACCAGGGTTTAGCGATACGGTTAGCAACGTCGTCGAGATTCAGAGACACACGCATCATCCCCATCCGTCACAGTACAATCATCGGCACAGGATGCGAGGTACAAGACAGCAATGATAATTTCGTCGAAGAAAACACGGTGCAACGATAAGTCCTTTTTACGAAATCCAACCTACGAATCTCTTCCGCGACACGCATTTCGCATCTCGTCTCTTATTTATCCCATATTTACGAATCATTCTCGTCATAAATGATCAAATCGATGATCTCGAATTAATCTTTTAAATTGGAATCGATGCGTTCGATAATTGGACGAGAGATTCGTAGTTACGATTTAGAAAAAAAAAAAAAAAAAAAAAAAAAAAAAAAAAAAAAAAAAAAAAAAAAGAAAAATATATATATATATATATATGAATGTCGCTATAAATGGTTTTTTACTCGCAAGAGGCAGAAGCTCTGTGTTCACTCGATGTAATATGTTTCTTCGTTTTGTTCTGTTATGCGCCTACAAAGACTATTACGACCACTGCGACTATTACGACGATGGTAATTTCTTTCGCAACTCCGTTTCATTCCCTGTTTCCGAAGCAATTTTTATTATCATCATCATGATCATCGTCACTTGATATTGTTATTATTACCATCTATCGTTATTATTATTATTATTATTATTATTATTGCAAATTCGTATTTTTGTCGTTTTTTTTTTCTTTTTGGCTTTCACATTTTCTCCACCCATCGACACGAAACAAACAGATATACAGATATACACAAGGAAAAAAAAAAAACAGACACTCGATCGATCGTTTTGTCACTCACAGGATTGACAGAAAGATGTCGAGAATGTTTTTTAATTTTAATCGTCGATTAAAGATCGATAATTATTAAATAAGGAAACTTTCTCGATTTCTCTTTCGTCTTATTATTTTCTTCTTCATGGATGGTCATAGATCATTTCATTATTTATCTTCCCGCGATATCTTTCTGATTTGCTCATTGGACATTGCACGAGATATAGTTATACACAGGCTTTCGATATCAAGCACTCTTGCACACTGGATACGAGCACCATGTCCTACATGTAGTGGATGAATTAGCATCCAAGTTTCGGTATTACGATTAGAAATTCACTGGTTGTATTATTTATCGGATCGAGTGATAAGTCTGTACGCGATTTCTGTGATTTTTACAGAGTTATAATCATCTTGATAAATGACAGACCAAGTTATTAGTTATCAATGAAAAGTTAATGAATGTCTTGCTGGTATTTTTATGTTAAAAATCGAAAACAATAATTCTTATTTTTATTTTATTTAAATATATCTAAGAAGAAAATTGACTACTAATATTTTTATGTTAAATGGACTTATTACTCGATACTGCACGAGGCAGTCCCTAGAATCATTAATGTATAGATAGAGAAATTAGCATGCGGCATGTTGGTCGATGCAATCAAATTAGAAAATCAGAATTGTCGAATCCCTGTTCCTTACAAAAAAATTGAAGACTTCTTTCAAAGAACGCCGCCAAACTTCCAAAAAAAAAAATTACCTCATTTCTTAATCATACCCCAAAACTTAACTTTCTTACTAAATTTATGCCATTCGTTTTCAAAATACTGTAAGTGCCAATTTTTGTTTCTTTTTTAGAATAGCTTCTGACCAAAAGTATACTCGTTAAAATTCTTCTTACACTCAAGTAGAATCCATTAGCAGAAACATCGTATTATTTTACAAACATATGCTTCCAAACAGTTCCAACATGTCTAAACACAATCTTTCCAATATAAAATTTTCAATCACCGGCACTTACAGCCTTTCCTCCTCGAGATCTTCAATAGTGCATACCCCAACACGATACCCTAAAAACCTGTAATTAAAAACCTGTAATTTTAAATCCCAGAATTAACTTAATAACTCAATAAGCCACGCGAATAACGGTTCGAGTTACAGGCTTCTCTTCCCTCTTTTGTACCGTTCCTTGGAATAGCGTTCGAATCCCGCTCCTTTCGAACGAAACACGCTAGGACAGTTAGAAAATGGCGCGTTGTAAAGGTTGGAAACGCTAACGAATACGTTCGTCAGGTCCGTGGAGCGCTTCGACGAGCCCAGCGAGGACGCCGAGCCCGATACACCACATCGACCGTGGCCGCCATTACGGGACGACGAGTTTGGAGCAACGTTCGAGGAGTCCAAGCCCGATCGGTGGTCGCCAGCCACCCCACACTCACCAGCACTATCATCGGCATCATCCCCATCAGCACAGTTACCCGGTGCTGGTGACGAGGCGAGGGCGTGGCCGTCGATTACCCCCAACCCCCAACAAACCCTCGACGCTTCAGCTCAAACCGGCGAACATCAATTTCCCGAAATTGAACGCGTCGCCTACCCACGGCTCGCACATACACGTGCCGATCCCAGCCGGTATCCAGCATCCGCCACCTGGCCAGCATCTGCCTCCCATGCAACCGAGCCACTGCCCCCTAAGCTTCGAGCAAGCGGTGGCGATGGGTCGGGGTGGCCGCCTATTGCCAAGCCCTGTGCCCAACGGCTACAAACCGCAGCCACAGGCCAAGCAGAGGACACCAAGGTTCGCTCACGAGTATTTTATTCAATAATATTAATTTAAGCTTAATATTGAAGTTTAATTAATTTAAATTTAATTTAAATTTAAATTCAATATTATTATTTAATAATTTAATCATCGTCGTGTGATTTTGATTATATTTGATTGGGTCTCGAACAGGTCGAGACACTCGGACAGCGACGAAGACGACTGGTGCTAGCCAAAGTGGGACCCTGGAC